CCAACCTTAATGGTTCTGTGATTCTGTGAAACCAGGACTAGAATGGGAGGTGTGCGCAGGGAAGCACCACTCCCCACCCCCTGCAGCACAAGGCCTGAGGGCACCTCATGATGTTGGCAGAGGAGAGGCCTGAAAGTCAGCCCAAGGACAGGCTGTTCCGCATCGTGCATGGTTAACTTCTTCTTGAAGAAGTCAGGAGTTTGTTCTGTCTCCAAAAGCTTCTAAACAAATCTGTGGCATTTCTGCGAGAAATACTGAACGAGGAGGTAAGGTCCCAGAGCGACCTCTCCCTCCACAAGTTCCTAATGGTCACTGACAGCAGTGCAGGGTGCAGGAGGAAGATCTTTTATCCCACCTCATTCTCTCCTGACGTGACTGCTGCTGTCTGCCAGCGATATTTATACACAGGGCCTGCGACCAAGGGCAGGGTATGGCTGGAGACCAGGCCCACCACGTCCCGGTGGCAGCAGGCACCACTTGCAGTCTGGTGGAGGTCTGCAGGGGGCAGCCACCCTTCCTGGGGACTCCTGCTGCTGACTGGCTGTAGCTTCTCATCCCTGAACAGTACTGGGAGGGCATTTGGGCACATGTGCCCTCCCAACTCTTGTCTTTCACCTTCTGCCACTGCCTGAGAGGCCAGGGTCACCCGGGCTTTGCATTCCCGTCCTCTGCACTGCTGAGCAAACAAGCAGCGCCTTGTCTCCTCCGGACACCTCCGCCCCATGCTGGCTGCCTCTCAGTTATCTGCCGAAGTGCTTTGCAGGCAAATATTTGCTCTGCGGTCCCAGACGCTACCTCACTCCTGTTTGCCCAGGTTCTTACTTCAGCGCCGTCAACATCGCACTCTCCCCATCCATATACCCCGAGGTTCTCGAACATGCATGACATTGCAGGGGTACAGGCTTCCTTATCCCACCCTCCCATGCATGTGCCTTGCTGGCAGGCAAGGAGGAAGAAGAGACAGCCCAGAGATGCCCAGCCTGCCAAGCCCACCTGCAGCCTTGCAGCCAGCGCAGCCTTATCGGGGAGGATGCTGATGACGAGCAGCACAGCCGTGAGCCCCTGCCACTTCCCGAAAGCAACAATGAGTCACACCCACCCTGTGCCTCATCCGAAGAAACTGAAAGGAGCAAAGGGCAAGCACTGGGGAAGTTCTCCCCACAAGTCATCCCCAGGAGCCTGCGCCAGGGAGCCCACCTGGCTGCTCCCAACCCATGACCCACAGGTGTGAGTGTCCCTTGACACCCCCAGAAAGAGTGATCAGTGGGGCCTCAGTGACATTTGACAGCACGCAGTGATCCTAAGGGGATGCTGGGGTTAAAGGTGTTCAAGTGACCTAACCCACAGGGCACGCTCTCAGACTGTCTGGAAACAGATTTTGGGGTAGTCAGTGAGGAACTATTTTGCCGACCCACCACTACGAACACCTGCACTGTGACAGAGAGAAGGTGAAGGTGAAGAGGGAGAGCTCTCAATGTCCTGAGATCAGCCCTGATGGCCAGCACATGGAGAGACCCGACTCTCCCCAAAAACCTTCAGTGAGGAGGCAAACTGGAAGACCTCCCCTCCAGCAGCTTGTGTTTAATCCCCAGCTGTGAACTCTGGAGAGCAGGGAAAGGCAGTAGAGGTAATCTGGCACCTTTGTTATGTATTATTGTTTGTCTGGAGGTTGCCAATTTTCTAATGTGTGTTTTGGGGAATAGTTACAAGTTTCGTGTTACAAGATTCCTAATGCTGTTTATTTATTTATTTATTTATTTATTTATTTATTTATTTATTTATTTATTTAATGCTCAAGCATTTATATTGCTCTCTTTTTTTTGAGTAATTCTCTCTCCAGGATCTTCCTTGATTTTCTCCCTCTTTGAATCGTGCTGAGCATGAACCTTGCCAGAAGTGCTGTCTAGGAGCAACTTGGAGCTGAGAGCCAAACCTGCAAAGCCCTCCTAGCTTTTAGGGCAACATTCTTGCCGCAGTTGTACCCAGGTCTTACCCAGCATGGGGCAGCAAGGAAGCACTGACCCTGCATGCTCACAGTGCTGGCATGATGCGCTGTGTCTCTCCTCTGCACATGCAGCTGTCAGCCCGTTTGCTAATTCACTGAATGGAAAATTTCTGCTTTTTGTTGCAAATCGACAGGTGAAAGTCAGAAGTGTTCAAGGCCAGGCTGGATGGGGTTTTGAGCAACCTGGTCTAAGGCAAAGTGTCTCTGCCCATGGCAGGGGGGCAGAATTAAATAGTCTTTAAGGTCCCTTCCAACACAAACCATTCTATGACTATATGAAAAATGTGGAGGTGAGCGCTCCCATCCTTGCGGCTGGGCTCAGAGCGCTGCAGGGCTGAGGGGTAGCAGAAAAAGCGCTGGGGTTAGTGAACACAGGGCCCCAAGGAGAGATGCGGCATGGAGAAAGGGTGGAAAAGAGGTGGAGAGGGAGGCGAAGAGTTTCTGTTTGTGTGTAAAGCCTCAAGGCTTGCAGAGCATCAGGTGGACTTGTGTCAGGTGTTCACTGCGGGTACTGGAAATTTACTAGCAGACAGACTGCTCTGCTGGGCCCCAAAGGGAAATGCCTTGCTTGGTACAAAAGAATAACCAATAAGCCAAGCAAAAGCTGGAGGCTTGCTCCTAGGCTGGCATAGCTCAGGCAGTGCAGGGCAGCTCCTTCAGAGCGAGAGTGGTGGTGGTTTCTCTGAGGAGACAGCAGGCTGGAGCAGAGGAGCCAGGCACTGCAGCGCAGCTCTGGGGGCAGCTGACCCCAGGTTTTGGATACTTTCCAAAACCGAACCATTGGAAGAGTGTGTGTGTGTGTTAGCTCCCACAGCCAAACCACAGGACATGAGAGGCACCCCAAGAGCTGCAGCTGGTCCCTGTAACCTGTACCCTCAGGAATCTGGCCCTCATGCCTGCCTGACTTGCAGGTCGATGTGGGGGAGCAGCCACTGCCTGACCACCTCCCTGAGCCAAAACCCTCCCAGGGCCGCACCGAGCTGGCATCTGAGAGCAAAAGTGAGGGAAGCAGGAATTTCAGACGTGTCAGGGTGGCTCGGATGGTGAGACATCTGCCCAAATGTGCTGAGGGTTTGCCATTTGCACTTCCTGATCTCATTTACTGTTGGTGGGGGGAAACCCAACGCAACTTCTGTGTCATATCTTGCACTTTGCTACGTCACACCAAAGAAGGGGAAACTTTGGAAAATGATTGTAATTCAGCTGAGGGGCGGTTGTCTCATGCATCTGAAGGTGAAGCAGGGAGCAATCAGCCCACACCAGGAGCATTGAGAGAGGTCCCCCGCTTTTGTGCATCACCTGCCATTTGATTTCTGGCAACTGATGCAATTGCCAGATCCACCTGAAGGGCGTACATCACAACCTGAGTCGCTCTGACTGAGGAAGAAACTTGGTCTAGGACTCAGGCAGCACCTCTAAGCCTAGAGACAGGCAGAGTTACCACCATGGGATACTGCTTTTGGAAGTCTTGCAAGGTCTCTGGTGACAGAAGGTGAAGGGAAAAGGGCCGTCAGAGGCAAAATAAAATTTAACATGATGCCGCAGGTTAGCATGCAAGTAATGCGAAGCACCCAGCTTTTACTCCATGCCCATCAGATAACAGAGCGAAACCAGACGAAGCTCTTTCCTCGCTGAGCTCTTCTGATTCTGAGGGCACCTCTGTGAGACACCCAAGGCCCAAACTGAGCGCTTGGAGCAAACAAGGAGCGTGGTTCCTATACTATGCTTAAAGACATACCTCTGTGTAAGTGGGCTCTATAGCTCAAACTGTCATCGAAAATTATAAACAGTACCCTCAAACATCTTTCAAAGCACTCAGGACTCTCACCTGCTTGTTGCTCTCCCCCTCTGTATCTTATTTGGAAAGCATCAAGGATGTTGCAAGAGTACTGTGGACTCTCTCAGGAAGAAATCTGTATTGAAGTGGAGTGGAAATCTGTACAGAGTGGTCTGGCTAGCACGTGTGAAATACAGTCTGCAGCCATGCACAACACGAAGATTAAAACACATTAAATAACTCCTGGTGTGCTGAAGGAGGCATGGTTCCCATTTAGAAGTCACAGTAATCCCCCACCAAACAGATTATGTGGCCATAAAACGTAAGTGGCTATGTACAACAGCTTGAATGACAATGCTTGCAGCTTCTTTTTTTTTTTTTTTTTTTTTTTTTTTTCCCCCCCCGTCTAACTTTTTGCACACCAGATTCTAAACCCTGCCCCTCTGCAGAGGTAGCCGGGATCCAGCTGTATCATGGGCTGGTGTCCTGACCTCCACGGCCACTGCTGAGCTTCTCAGCTTTTGCTTGAGCTTGGCATCCTCCGAGCATTCCTGCTCAGGCTTGGCACTGCGTGGTTCCCCGAGTAACTCAGCTGGGAAGACAGATCCGGGAGGTAGGGCTGCCCTCCCGGAGCAGCCGAGTTCTCAAGCGGAACCTCTGGGGTGTTTCTAGCACGCAGCAGTGTTTGCCGAGCAGCCCTCCCGTGGGAATATGTCGAAATATAGTTACAGGCATGAGAATGGTCACGGGAGAGGGGAAAAAAAAAAAAGAAAAAAAAAAAGTGCCGCCTTGTTCAACAGATTTGTTGCAGATGTGGTTTCAGAGCAAGCTCCTACCACCCCTCATTCTGCTGTGACACTGCTCTCTTCTCCAGAGAGTGGCCTGGGATCTGATGTCACAGCAGTGGAGCTTTCTCTTCTCTGCCTCTCCTCTTTTTAAAAGCTCACTTTCTGAGCTGCGTCTGCACTATTGAAAAGGGAAGTTGTCCTAAAGAGCAGCATTTTCTTTTTTTTTTTTTTTTTACCAGAAGAAATCCTTCCTTCCTTGTACTTCAAAACGCTGATTGAAAGGAGCAGCACATTGAGCATGATAAAAAGACACTACAGGAAAAGCCTAGATGGACCAGCTCTTTGATTTTCCATCAAAGTGAGAATTATGCCTTAAGATGGCTTTCAAAGTTGCTGCTGAAATAATGAAAAAAAAATAAACAGCCAAAAATATGAATATAAAGCAACTTTAATTTTCCTCTAGATATTTATATCAAAGAAATAATACTCATGTCCAAGTATTGTACATACAATATCTTCCTTATAAACTCTTTAGTTTAAAACACGTGTACAAAATTGCACATTGCAGTTTGCAAAAAATCATAAATACCTTTTTGCATGTAAACAATTCCAGCACAAGGATAAACGTTGTACATTCCAAAATGTCTAAGTCTCTGATCAGAAACAAAAACAAACAAACAAACAAAAATCCCATTGTGATCCCCATAAAGGTTCTAGTGTTACAAATCAACCATTAACAGATTCATAACTGATGTACTACACACAGGAATACATAAATGAGCACAAGGCAAGTCGCCTTTTAGTCATAAGCACTTAAGACAGAGACTTGGAATACAATTCTGCTGCCGTTTATATCCATGGTATCCACCCCACAGTATTTAGTGGTAGCAGGATTGCGTTAATTTTTCCAAGATTACCAGTTGCAGTACGCCTTAACTTTTAATTCTTAAACAAGTTGGCCACTGCGGAACAGTAGGAATTGGAAAGTTATTGTAAACACAGTTATCACCGTTGTATATTCAGCAAGTTACAGTATTCTCCTAAACACATCACTAAATTAAGAAAATGTTTTACATTTAATCAAGTGCAAGTTGCCAACCAAATATTGTCCACTTTGTCTCAGAAATAAGCGTTTTGACTATAGTTCTACATAGTTTGTTAAAGTAACGTAAAAAAATACAATGGACATAATCCTCAGTTGTAGTATATTATTAAGCCCTGTAGCTTCCGTTTATGTAAAAAAAGTAATCACCACACCAAGAAAAAAAGCTGTCAGAGGTGTCCTTGATAAACCTCTCCTGACCAAATCCAGCCAGTCAGTAGCTACTGAATTTTGTTTCGCTACTATTGCCTCGGTCTGCACGCAATATGCTGGCCAGCACACCCGTTTGAAGAGTTCCCCAAAATAATCATTTTTTTTTAAAAAAAAAAAAAGAAAAAAGCAGAAGTATTTCTGAATCCACACAAAGCAGGTTTTTGCATTTATTTTTCATCTATTCAAATACTGTTAATTTTCAGAAGTTCTTCCTGAAGCAGAGATTTTTGGAAGGGCTCCTCAGAGGGTTCCTCTGTGCCAGTCAATTTAATAAGGCAGAATACGAAGGTGCACATAAACCCAACTCGTAACAACCCGGCGAAGCACATGGGCAGACAGCCACCCACCAACTATCTGCACGTAAGCTGCTGCAAGAGCGGAGGCAAAATCTGAGCTGCTCTGTCTCCACCTTTCGTTTTTGAATAGCTCTCCTGGACAAGTGAGGGAGCTGCAGTGCCCTGCCCCAGGGCCTCGGAAGAACCAGTTTGGATTTCAGCGCTGTAGGAAGTGGCAGTTTGCTCACACTTCTCCTTTCGGACAGAAACGGAGCTTGGGGGTGCTGGTGGCTAACCGGCAGGGAGGGGCTGCTTCTCCTTTTCAAGAGATCCCCGGGGTCTGCTGATCATGCAAGGGACGGCCACGGGGGATGAGTGACCCCAGCAGCCACCCCAGCAGGCAATACTGCAAGGCTCAGGGCGCTGTGCATCATTAAGCATTTTCTACATCATGGGCATTCAGCGAGGACCAGACGCCAGAAAACACCGAGAGCTCTCAAAGCTGGGCTCCACCGCCCAAGCTGAGGGAAGGTTGAGACAACTGGTGAAGCCAAGTGGTCTTGAAAGCACATTGCTCAGAGAAGGATGTATTTCTGCTTCCCTAGCCTGCACCTGTCCAGAGCTGCTCCTTTCTTACAGAGATCTGTTTGGAGTGATACAGGATGGGCCACCACGAGCACCACAACTGCAAGGGCACATTCGTGGTCTCCGACACCTCAGACAGATTTTCAGTCTAGGCAGAAATTGCGGAAAGAAGAAACAAGCCTCAGACAAGTGGCTCCAGAAAAAAAGAGAAACTGCCCTGGAAGGAATGACCTCCAAGTCCCCATACTGAAAAACAAGGAAGCTGCGGAGCTACTCCACCAGCAAGACTTGTTCAGAAAGAGAGATCCGGCTGGTAAGAACCTGCACGGGGATCTTAAGGGTTACCTTCAGACAGCATAAACTGGAGGTAATCTAACAGCTGAGCTTGTTTCAAGGACCAGCAGGCCTGCTCCTTGCTTTCGCAGCAGAAAAGCCCTGATACTGCCTTCTCTTAATGTCTCTACACATCACTCCTTTTGACCTTAAAAAGCCCGTAGACCCATTCCTAATTAAGACGAGTGGGTGTGGTAAGCAGCAGCGGCCAGATTTCGGTGGGCGAGAGGCCTATGCAGGCTTGCTCATCATTTTCAGTTTGAAAGCCAGGAATTGCACAACACTTACATTGCAACACTTATTCCCTTCTCTTTGTCCCCTACTGCAACCAAAGCAAAACTGCACGTGTAAATCAGTGTTTACAGAGAGCACAGTGCCAGCACTGCGCCAGGTGTCTCAATAAACTGTGCATCGTCACAAAGCAAAACAAATCCCTAAGGCTTGCTCGTGTTGGCTTCTTTACTCCGCTTTTTTTTTTTTTTTTGGGGGGGTGGGGGGGTGGAGGGGAAGACGGAGGACAGAAATTAATGAAGCGTGAATATCTAATCTGTTACATAGAGAGGAATGCTCAAGGGACTCGCAAGAACTTGTTTTGCTACATATTGAGCAACACCACATGGGAAAGCCTTGAAATTAGAGCAAATGCTTGAAGCCAGGGCGTAGCTGCCTTTTGGAACTTGTCCTTCGTGAGCCTCATTTTATTAGAGAGCAGACCTTTGCATCATCAGCCAGCATTCAGACCTGGACTTTACTTGATGACATTTCAGTATGGTGGTTACCATGGCTTTAAATAAATAAGGGTAAGTGTGAAATTACCACTCATTGGGCAAAACAGGGAGGGGCACGGTTTCCAGAGAAGACGAGTTTAGAAGACACTTAGGCAATAATATTAAAACAAAACAAGATGAAAAGCATCCTGAAGAGCAATATTAATTCTCCCCCACTTCAACATACAATGGATATCAACATTAAATAATCTCTCGTAGTTAACTTTTATTCCTTCCCTGGATTCCTTGCTTTCTACAGCTAACATCTCTAATTATAACCATGGGGAAAGGGATAAAAAATGTACTTGGTATTAGGTACTATTGGCCTGCTGGGAGTGTGACATCTCACTGCACACCACAAATACACCACAGATACACCAGCCTGCGCTGTGATTTCAGCCACAGTGTGCGCAGGGCTTTAAAACACCACAGGGAGTTACAATACCATGTCAGTAACTGGCACAAAATGGGCCGAACTGGTGACGTTCTGGCACTTGGGCAGCATGCTAGAAAGCCCTGCTCTGCTGAAGGTGTCACCTTGCAGACTGTAAGTAGAGTAGGTGTCCTAGGTCCCTAAGGCCTATGTGACCTGCTATATATAACAAGATGAGTTTAACTCTCTGGAAGTCAGTGTCTTCCCACCGTTTCTCTACAATGCACCTTTCCATGATGGATATTAATACACAGAATGGTAAAAACTGGAAAAAGAACAAGAGTTCAGCTGTCGACTCTGTTCATTCAGAGAGGCAAGTTTTCTACCAGTGTCATTTCAAGTTTCCAGGGAAGAAAGGGAGGATATCCTGAACACGCTCTCCTGAGCAGCCCATTAGCTTTACTCTATGCCACCATGCCGCCCGTGTCCAGCACTGCAAGGAAACCTGGTGGTTTATGAAACAGAGGAGAGGAAAAAGGCTGTGAAGCGCAACACGCTATCCTTTGAAAGGCTCAGCATGAGCCACAAGGCTATCTGTATAAGCTTTTTCTTTTTTTTTAAATAGACTCTTCATCCCTAAAGGCCAACCCCCTGTGTCAGGCTGAAGGGCCGTGCACCCCTTGAGGTGCAGGAAGCTTTCTGGAGAGGACAAGAAAATGTTACCAAACACTTCTACCACATGCAAGCTCCTGGTTATGATTTTTACAAAGATCAGTGCACAGCCTATTCCACTCTGAACTCGTTTTTAAACCAATAAGTGGCAGTAGAAGTTAAGTCTTCTCAGTAGTTCACTAAATATCAGAACCAGCAGCGCACTGGAGCACAGAGAACTGGTCACATCCATAGCCCACCATCACTCCAAAGCCTTCCTCCAGAAATCATAACTTCTCCAGGAAAGGTACTTAGCCAGCACATAGGATTTTTGGCAGTATTTTGGACCATCTTTCTTTCCAGTAGAGAATCCACAGAAAAGTTCAGTGTACAGCTAGCCACAATACAGACGCAGACCTTTCGACAGGCACAAAAGCAAACGGCAGGCAGGTAATTATTCAGGGCCAAACCCCTGCAATCATTATTTATAGCAACCTTCCCTTCACTTTGCAGTAAATCACTGCACACGAGCTGCAGCACTTCAGATCACGGTACGACTAAATGTGACTTTAAAAGTAGGTGATCTTTTGGCATTAATTGAACATGGCAGGATTTGACAGTCCCTCCAGTTTGACTGGCAATCTAAAAAAATCCCCTTGCGATCACACGCATTGCTGTGGCTTAGTTTTCTTCTGGGAGAACTTAGCCCCTGCAATGAAAATGATGGTGCCTCGTGGCATACCACGATGAGTGCTGCTATTGGAGCTGGGAGGACACCACAGAGAGCAGGACCCCAGCATAAGGGCTCACATCTACTGGAGACACAAGATGCTTTCACGCAGCGCTCTCACATCGGTGACACACTTTTACAAGACTACTCAAAAGAAATCTGCATTTGGAAACAGCCAGAAGATGGCCACACATGCAGTGGACTGTGTGAACTTCTAATCTGAGATCCAGTTTGCAACAGCACTGATGAGGAGAGCAAGCCTGCTGGCATGCCAGAGCTGAGCAACGGTGCTGCCAGCCTGAAGCAAGCAGTGGGGATCAACGCATGCTGCAAATCAACAGGGTGGCGTCTTGGAAAGATGCCCTCGCTGTAAATTTTAGATGTAGAGGATTTTATACTGTTAGCAGCATGCAGACCACAGCAGGCTCTCCACAGTGCACCAAATTTCTCTGAAACCCACATTTAGGTTGTCACACGCGGCCACTCCATGCAGAAGTCACCTCTGAGTTACTAACAGGCACCGTGAAGAGAGAGGTGTCACAGCATAAACAGCTGCAAGCCTCTTCGTCAGCAGCCCAGGGAAAGAGAGACCTTGGAAACAAGCGGGCAGGAGTAACTGAGAACTAACAAGACCTCTCATCTACCATAACGCACCACAGCGGCCTAAATCTTCCTAAATTCAGACTTAATTAATCAGCACCTTCTCAGTACAGTTTCGCCGTGCGTGGCAAGATTTTATAAGGTTTATAAGAAATGTTCCTTTGACAAAATCCAGAATCTTACATCTCTCCTATGGAACCAGGTAGAGTAAATCCTGATGCAGCACCCCAGCAAGCAATTATGGCTTTCAAAAGATCAGTAGCCACGTGCAGGATTGTGATGCGCAGTGAAACCTTCCTGTTCAAGGCTTTTTCTGCTGATGCAGAGAAGTATTTTAAAAAGTGGGCCCGTGACAGATGTTACCATCCACCTGTGCTGCAATGCACGCAGTCACTGCACAAAACGCTGACCAGAGGAAGTGAGCAGAGAGGGGCAGAGCAGCCGAGGAATTCTCCCAGCGCTCTCCCGGTTACAGTAAAATTGCAAATAAATTACTTGGAAAATGGAAGTGGTTTTGTACAAGTCAAACGCATATGCAGAGATGTCACATTCCACTTTCTGTCCTTGCTAAACATAGAAAGTTAGAGAATCAAGTAGGGAAGGAACAAAAGCTGGTCAGCAGCAGTTGCAGCTGCACAAGAATAAACAACAACAAAAAAGTAAATCATTGCTTTTTCTGCTTAAAATCCAGAAGGACAACAAAAGCACATTGAAGACTGACTTATGTTACAAGCAGATGATTTTCTTCTTGTGTATTAATTTTGGATACAGAGAAAGGTTCCCTACGAAGTTGCAGGACTCAGGCTGTTCAGAGTCACACTGCAGCAGCCAAGCCACTATTTTCAGCGCTACGAGCAATTCGGGTTGCTGTGCCTCCACACTTCAAACGCCACGGAACAGCGCTATGCAACAACAGGTATTTATAATTCCACTTCAAACTCCTGCAGATCGCCTTGAGGCTTAACTTTGGGCAACTGCTCCTTTCTCAGAAGTCAGATGGACACGCCGAGCTGGACAACTACAGGAGAAAAACAACAGGGCATCTCATGACTTGTCTCAGTCATGACACGAACGCAAACCCAGATGACAGAGGACTGCTGTATGGCCACTCTTTGTTCTTCGAGACTGCATGAAATTCAACAGCGTTTTATGATGCGCGGCAAGGAGCCCAAATCCCTAGAGGTATTTGAGACTACCAGAGGCTCATGAGAAAATTGCCACCACCACGAGACTCAGCCCAGTCAGTAACGGGGATGCGGCACTATCACAGGCCCACACCTCTCGGGGCATGTGAAGCACTCATCTTTGGGGATTTTGCTCCCCAGGCCTGCCGGGTTGATTCCCCTGAGCCATGGTGGGAGCTGTCAGAACCACTCACCAACCACACAGACCTGCCTGGGCAGCTCGAGACACCGATGGACACCGGGGAGGGAGCAAATCCATCACCTCCTAGCGATGGCATTGCGTGATGTGGCGGCAGCAGGGCACGTCCCCCACATGGACATAAAGGAGGCGCAGTGCCGGTGGTAGCTGCCCCAAGCCTCTGCCCCAGGAAGGGTGAACCCTAACCACCAATACTCCTATTCACCAAGACAGAAGGGATCTGCTAACAATTCAAGGAAACAAAAGTCATTTATGGGTCAAGCCATTTTGCTGTAGCACCTCAACAGGAAGGCAACTCAAATCCAGACCAACACATCAAGCATCTTCAAAGTCTGCTGACGAGCAGCATGCCAAATGCACACAGCAGCAAGGTCCCAACAACCAGGACAGATAAAGGAAGGGACAGCACAGTCCCCAGAGCAGAGGCTACACCTGGGGCAAGGAAACCAAGAGGAATGCTCATTTGTCACAGGTTCATACCTAAAACACAAAACCAGATCAGAAGGGCATGAGAGTAACCTGCACTATGAGAGTCTTTGTAGGGACACACACAAGCGTAGCAAAACATGGTCTAGGTTTGAAGGATGGAAAACAATACTAAAAAGAAGAGCTCTGAGGGTCCAAGTGAACTTGAACCGATTTTTTACAGTGACTTGTACGCACCCTATGTACCTGCACTTACTGAAAATGAGCTACATTGATCCAAACCAAACAAGCAGACTGGAAAAATTTTACCCGGTATCACACTTTTAGCATTTCACAGTGATGAAAAATTCAGGCTGAATATCAAAACAGAAGTTCAAGGATACAGAAAAGAAAAACTCTGCAATAAACTGAATTAAAGAAAATAAAAAAGTACAACCTAAAGAAGACATAATTAAAGATAGGGACACTACAAGGTGACAGTCAGAGTACTGATACATTTTAGAGGACAGTAATTGAAGAAGTGAAAACCTGAAGCAACGACGCCTGGCAGCTGCAGAAAGCAAGCACTCCTGAGCCTTGCTGTATTGTTTTAATCTGCTAGGTGTTCAGGCTGTCCATTCGCCCACCTGCTGGGGATCACCAACCTCTTGCAAAATCAGAAGGGGAAAGAGAAAAAAAAAGAATTAAGAAAACACTATTCTCAGTTTTTGGTCACATCCCCAGCCTGGCAGAGGGCCGGGTGGAGCAGGCAGCCCCAGCAGCAGCCTCCTGTCAGCCACCAGTTTAACAGGGCCGGACTGTCAGCACTTCCATCGCCCAACACGTGCCAGCCAGGGCGTAAAGCAGGCTATTAAAAAAAAGTTTGCGGGCGGGATCTTTGAGAGGGCTGCTCATGCTGAAAGCTGAGAGGCAACGCGTGGCACTCGCTGGCTTTGGCAGCGACACGCTGCCTGGGGTCAGGAAGGGAGACAGCAGGGGCTGCTGTGTTTTAGGGTTCACCCACGTCTCCCTGGGCATCGCTAACCTGCTCTGACCAAAGAGCAAAGAACAAGCACAGTCTGCCCTGTGTCCTGCCACAGGGTCTTTACCTAGCCCCAGACTCATCCTCAAGCACAAGAACTGAAACTGCGCTGCCCATACTTGTAATTTTCATGTGTTTTCCGAGATTCTTTAAAAAAAAGTTATACTCGCTACACGTGCAGTAAAGACAAGCACCTCGCATCAGCGGATTTCCCCAGGTGGCATTGCCTCTCCCACCAGGGAAAGCACATCAAGGGTGGCCAAAAAAAAAAAAAAAAGTCTTTATCAGTTTCTCCAGTCTTGCAGCAACTTTGCAGACAGGTGATGTCTGCCACATAGTAAAAACTGCTTTCTACCCGGTCATTATGCAGCAGGCACTGCTATCAGGATGCCTTCAAGAACTCTTCAAACCCACGCTAAGACCAGAATTATTTTGTCCCTGTTCACCAAGCATTTCTAAAGCAGCTCTACCAGCCAGCCAGCAGAAGGTACCGTGACACTCGACCATTTAAACCCCCCCAAAACAGGCTCCGGTGACGTGATTAAAACAGTTACAGAATGATTAATATGGCTTCTACCTGATTTGCATATGCATTAAGAAAAGAAACCTCCTCGGCGCATCTCGGCTCCAGCGCCCCGGCCTCCAGGTGTGCAGGGGTGGCAGCGAGCTGGAGGGGCAGGACCACCACGGCTGAACCTTCCCAACAGACAGCAGCGCTCGCCTGTCACTAACGAGAGCACAAAAATAAAGATAGAAAAAATAAAATAAAATAATGACGAGTCCATCCCAGGCTCTCTTCTTGGATTTCCAAGCACGGAGCGCAGCCTTCCAGGAGAAGCGAGGCGGACGTCCAGCGGCTGCAGAAAGGTGCAACAGAGCCGAGCCACAGCCGGGACACACCTGAGGATGCCCGAGCCCCTGTGCTTCCCCACGCAGCCCCCTGCTTTCACCAGCTTCACGTCTTGTCCGAGCTGCAGCCGGATCTGCTCAGGAGGAGCTGTGCTCTCGGCGGGTGACCTTCACGCTCCGACAGACCGTTCCCTCTGCACCATCCACAGGGCTCAGCAGCGCTGCACGGGCGGGGAGGGATGCTCAAAACCACGCGGGAGGGAGCCACAGAAGCAAGGCAGGCAGCAGGACCGAGCGAGGGATCTACAGCTTTCAGAGAACTTATTGAGGATTATGTCTAATCGACCAGAGGGAGGGAAAAAAAAAAACACACACACAAAACCCAAAAAGTTCCTGTGCCGCTCTCTTCGGCTAGTAAAATCTTGACAAAGAAATAAAGCACGTCAGTTCTTCCCAGCCAGAAATTCACTTCACATTCTAGCACTGGCTCTTGCAGCCTCCAGCGTATTGCAGAAAAAAAAGTTTCTTTAGAACAAAGCAGACCGAGAAGAAATGCATACAGGTTTCTACCGAAAAATAAATCTCCTTCTCCGTAGTATTTCTGTGATTTATTCAAACAGAATACAATGGAATTACCGTTCTCGTAGCGAATCCGCCCCAAATCTGAGCCCTTTTCCGTATAGCACGGGATCGTTACTATACTATGCAAAGAGCAAACACTACTGGAATGTACACAGTGAAAGAAAACGAGTAAGTAAAGCTCTTCTTGCCAAGGTAACTGTTTTCACCACTAACGTGTTATCTATAAAAATAAGGTCTAGGCAACGTCCAAAAGTGTTCAAGTTTCAATAAATAACTATCAATGCCCCAGATTTGCACTGGCACGAGAAATATGGAGCTAACAGTTTAGAAAAGTATTTCCACACGACTCAGTCGGCAATACATCTCGTCCCGCCTAAGATTTACAACAAAACCATTCTCCTCCCTCCAGGGTTCGACTTTAGACCCGCAGCCGTTCAAGGGCGAGAGCGCCCACCCGGCTGCCTTAGCTCTCAATGGCAAATTAAAGCTCTAGAGAAAGACGGTATTTAAAAAAAAAAAAAGTTATTTATCGATACCAGGAAAATATACATAGCCATGTTGTGTTTTAAATATATATATATACACACGCACATCTTTTCCAAAGGGTACGATTCTGGGTTCTTTTTTTTTGTTGTTGTTTTTTTTTTTTCGGTTGTTTTGTTTTCTCCAAACTGTGAAAAGCTTATCCATCGCTATACACTTCCTAAGGTATGGTGTATTAGGAAACATATATATATTTATATATATATATATATTTTTATCCCCACGTGAAAAATAAAAGCTCAGTCTTTCTGTAAACAGGAATTACCTTAATCTTCCGAAATCTCCACAGACCTCAAGCACTTCACTCAACAAACACCTGACCCTGCTCCCACACACACACTCCCCCAGCCCCCCAGGCCCGGGGGGCTCCGAAAGGATGCAGGGGGGCTCCCGCAGCACCCCGTGCAGCGGGTGCAGGGGGGTTTCAAGGGTCGCTCAGCAGGCTCCGCTGCTCTCCGGGGCTGCGGGCGGCTCCGCGGGCGGCTCCCGGGGCGGCGCAGCGGCGGCGGCGTTGATGTGGCAGCCGGAGGAGAGGTGGCTGCGGACCCGTCCCTGCAGCTGGGTGACCTGTGCCCGCAGCAGGTTGGCGGTGGCGGCCAGCTCGGCGTTCTGCCCTTTGAGCGCCTTCACCTTCTCCTCCAGCCGGGCGATGCGCTCCAGCTTGCGGCGGCGGCACTTGGAGGCGGCGATGCGGTTCCGCAGCCGCTTGCGCTCCGCCTTCAGCCGCTCCTGGCTCTCGGCGTCCAGCGGCGACAGCGACGGCGGCGTCGGGGCGCTGCCACCACCGCCACCAGCACCACCAGCACCACCGCCACCGGCAGCTCCAGCAGCACCGCCGGCACCTCCTCCCTCGCCCGCCGGCACCTCGGGCACAGTCTGCGGCTCCTCCAGCGCCCGCGACGGCGGCAGCCGCCCGCCGCCCAGCCCCGCCGCCCCGAAGGGCAGCGGAGGAGGAGGAGGAGGAGGAGGAGGAGGCGGCGGGGCTGCCGAGGCGGCAGGGTAGGCGCTGCCCGAGGGGCTGAGCGGCCCGGCGGGGTTGAAGCTGCCGAGGTTGGTGTAGACAGCCGGCGGCTCGGCGGCGGTGCCAGCAGCGGCAGCAGCCCCCGGGCGAGCCCCCGGGCAGCAGGGCCCCGGCGGGGAGAGCGGCGGGGCGGCCAGCAGCTGGTTCTGCTTGTGCAGGTCGGCCAGCGCCTTGACGAAGCCGTCGGCGAAGCCCTCCTGCTCCTGGGTCACGGGCTGGCGGTACAGGAACGTCCCCGCGGATGCCGAGGAGCCCGCCCCGGCTCCCGCTGCCCCCGCCGCCGCCGTGCCCGGGCTGCCGGGCGCCATCCCCGCTCCGCCCTGGATCAGCAGCTGCTCCAGGTCGGCGGCCGGCGGCAGCTTCAGCAGCGGCAGCTCCGCCGCGGAGCCCAGCGCGGCCTCCGGGCCCCCGCGGCTCCCCGCAGCCCCGGGGCCGGCCGCGGAGCCCGGCGGAGGAGGAGGAGGAGGAGGAGGAGGCGGCGGCGGGGCGGCGGCGGGCGGCAGCAGGCGCAGGGCCGCGGCGCTGCCTCGGGCGCTGCCGGGCGGGCGCAGCGCGAAGGGGCCCCGGCAGCGGCGAGGGGGCGGCGGGCGGCTTCTTGCCGCTGCCCAGCAGCAGCTTCGGGCCCCCGGCGGCGGCTGCTGCGGCGGCTGCTGCTGCGGCGGCGGCGGCGGCGGCGGCGGCTTCGGGTCCGGCGGCGGCGGCGGCGGGGGAGGCGAAGCCCGGCAGCGGCACGAAGTCGGGCAGCAGCTCCAGCCCCTCCTCGGGGTAGAACGGCGCCTCCATCTTCACGGCGGCGCGCCCGCTCCGACCGCCGCTCATGCTGCCGGGCGCCGCCGGGCCGGGCCGGGCTCCGCTCGCTGCCTCCTCCCCGCCCTGCCCCTGCCCCTGCCCCTGCCCCTGCCCCGGCCCCTGCCCGCCCTGCGGCCTCGGCTGGCGGCGGGGACTGAGCCGCCGCACGGCGCCGCCGGCCGCACGCCCCGCCCCGCCTCGGGGGGACGCGCCCCCACTGCTGCGGCTCGGCCCCCGCGGGGAGGGGAGGGGAGGGGATGGGGTGGGGGGAAGAGGGAGGGAAATAAGGAGAGGAGAGGAGAGGAGAGGAGAGGAGAGGAGAGGAGAGGAGAGGAGAGGAGAGGAGAGGAGAGGAGAGGAGAGGAGAGGAGAGGAGAGGAGAGGAGAGGAGAGGAGAGGAGAGGAGAGGAGAGGAGAGGAGAGGAGAGGAGAGGAGAGGAGAGGAGAGGAGAGGAGAGGAGAGGAGAGGAGAGGAGAGGAAAATGAAAAAGAGAAGAAAAAATGAGAAGAGAAGAAAATGAGAAAGAGAAGGAAAAAAGAAAAGAAAGTAAAGAAAGAAAAATGAAAAGAGAAGAGAAGAAAGGAGAAGAACAGAAAATGAAAAAGAGAAGAAAAATGAAAAGAGAAGAGAAGAAAATAAAAGAAAATGAAAAGAGAAGAAAATAAAAGAAAATGAAAAGAGAAGAAAATAAAAGAAAATGAAGAGAGAAGAGAAGAGAAGAGAAGAGAAGAGAAGAGAAGAGAAACAGGAAAGGAAAGGAAAGGAAAGGAAAGGAAAGGAAAGGAAAGGAAAGGAAAGGAAAGGAAAGGGAAAGGAGAAAAAAAAAGGAAAAGAATAAAAGAAAAATGAAAAGAGAAAAAAAGGAAAGAGTAAAAAGGAAAAGAGGAAAGAAGGAGAAAAACCTTTAGAGATGGGTTTTGAAAGGTGTTAAGCGTCTTGTTAACACAACTGAAATGCGCAGGTTCCCCTTTCCAGTTGGGGGCTGTTTGCTGCCTCCATCTGAGCCAGTTCCCCGCTGCCCCTCTCCAAGCCTCTGAGATTCTTACGGGATGAGGGAAGCGTTTCCCACCCAGTCCTTTGGAAATCCCTTCTGCTCGGGATGCTAGCATGATTCCGGCCGAGCTCGTGCTGACGCAGATGTGGGGCAGACGCTAATAGCAGGCGAGGAAGGACTTTGCCCCAGACACAGCACTTCGGGGCCGTAAGGGGCAGGAGTCCAAGTGCACCAACGCCTTCGTGGCCTTGGCTCGCCTACCTTGGGGCACCGAGCCTGCACCGAGGCCGTCGCTCCCAGCCCGGCTGTGCTGCAGCTGCTCCCTGCTCCAGCCACACCTCCAGGGAGGCCTTGGACCTGTGCTGGGGCTCGGTTTCCCTTCCAGTTTCTGGAACCATCTCCTGCAGGACTCGCAGGGTGCACCTTGCAGCCATCCTGTCACCTTGCCCTGCCTGGGCGTGCCGGCTGGCTCCTGCCCTCAGCACCCGCCTGGCGCAGACGCCACGGGACCGTGACAGTGATGCTGGTCCCCTGCTGCAGATCAGCACCTCGCTGGGCGTTGCTGCTCACCCAGACTGTGTTTTGTCTCCAGAAAAGGGAGACGGAAGGACCACGGTGAGGAGGAAAAACACCAGGCAGGAACCTCTCAGCTGGAGAGGAGGAGGATGGTACACATCTGTGTGCTCCCCTGCCTCATAGCACAGGGGCCTCAGCCTCCTGCCCCAGCTCACGCAGCCTTCCTGCCTCCCCGCGTGGGGACGGTGCTGAGGTGAGGCCGACAGGGAGAAAATGACCTCCCAGAGGCTGGAGGGCAGAGAAGAGGCTGGAGAGCTCCACGTGGGCTTGAGGCCACCACCAGAGTTATCATAGAATAGATATGGTTGGAAAAGACTTCACATCACCTGGCCCAACCATCCCCTACCACCAGTGTCACCACTGAACCCTGTCCCCAAGCACCACATCCAACCTGTCCTTGCACACCCCCAGGGACGGTGACCCCACCACCTCCCTGTGCAACCCATCCCAGTGCCTGACTGCTCTTTCTGAGCAGAAATGTCTCCTCATTGCCAACTTGAGCCTTCCCTGGCACAACTTGAGGCCATTCCCTCTGGTCCTATCACTGGTTATCTGTGAGGAGAGGCCGACCCCCAGCTCCCCACACCTTCCCTTCAGGCAGCTGCAGAGAGCAATGAGGCCTCCCCTGAGCCTCCCCTTCTCTAGACCAAACACCCCCAGCTCCCTCAGCCGCCCCTCACAGGAGCCCACAAGGCGCAGCGGCTGCTTCAGAAAAACTTAACATCACTTTTTTTTTTTAAACTCAGTGACTTATTGAGATACCAGCTGGTGTTGGGGACCTGCGGGACAGGCTTCAGTGAAGGCAACAGAGCTGCTATGGATGTAACAATATTTATTTTCGTTATTTGTGTGCATTTTGTGTTTGTGTGTGTTTTATACGTGTGCTTTGTACGCTGTGTACACACCAGGGTTACATTTACACGCAGATACCCGGCTATTCTGGCAGCGGGGCAGGCCGCCTGCTGGTGCCCTGAGCCACTTCGCCCCTCCGGGCAGCCGCTGGGAGCCACCGCCGGACCCACGGCCCCGTCCCTATCCCGGCCCGGGGCGCTATCGCGGCCCCGCTCCCTATCGCGCTCCCCTCGTATCGCGGTGGCTATCGCGCCCCGCCCGGCGCTGCCCAGCTGTGGCGGCCGGGCGCCGTCTGAGGGGAAAGCGGGGGTGGCGCTGAGGGAGGGGAGAGGGGGCGGGGCCTCGCCCGGGCACCGCCTTCCTATTGGACGCCCCGCCGGCCAAGCCCCGCCCCGCCGCGCCGCGCGCCCAATGGGCGAGGGCGGCGCGCGGAGCCACCGCGAGAGTTGCGCTGAAGCTGGCGCCGCCATCTTGGAGTCGGGAGAGGCCGCGTCCCGTCGCTGTCCCTCTCGGAGGGGGTAGGGGAGGGGGGGGGGGGGGGCAGGATGGCGGCGCGGCGCTGAGCTGAGCTGCCGGCGGCCGCAGGCCCCTCCTCGCCCCGCGGCGGGGCGGCGGGGGCGGCAGGATGGTGCAGTCGTGTTCCGCCTACCGCTGCCGGAACCGATACGACAAAGAGAAGCCCATCTCCTTCCACAAGTGAGGAGCGCGGGCGGGGCGGGGCGGCGCCTCCTGACGCGGCGCGAGGGGAGGGGCGGGGTGGGGCGGGGCGCAACGGTCGCCGGCGGCCGTTGATGGCGGGGGGGGGGGGGTCCTGACAGAACATGGGGGGGGGGGGGAGCCCCTGAGGGAGGCTGAGCTGATGGCGCCCCGCCGCCGCCCGCAGGTTCCCCCTGACGAGGCCGGACCTGTGCAAGAAGTGGGAGGCGGCCGTGAAGAGGAAGAACTTCAAGCCCACCAAGTACAGCAGCATCTGCTCCGAGCACTTCACGCCCGACTGCTTCAAGAGGGAGTGCAACAACAAGCTGCTGAAGGAGAACGCGGTGCCCACCATATTCTGCTACACCGAGCCCAACGAGAAGGTAACGCCGGGGCACGCCGGGGCTGCCGCCAGGTGCTTGTGGTGCTCAGGGGGTCTTACAGAGCCCTCAGGGACACCTGTAAGCCATCCTTTGCAAGGCAGGCTGGACCCTCAACTCCCGTCCCCAAACTTCAGCTGCAGTTGGCCATAACTGCAAATCAATTATCCTCTCTTCCCTGCAGGCGTAATAAATGCAAGCTGAAAGCTACGAGATTGGTTTCCATAAGGGACACCACGTAGCAGGTTTCTTCCCGCTCTGTGATAGAGGAAGGAGAGAATGGACGTGATAGGTCTAGGGCTGAAAGACCGCCAAGGGATGAGCTGCGTAAATAAAAACTGGGGTTGTGCTTGTTTGATTTTTTTGTTGTTGATGTTGTTGTGTGTAGCGCTGGATTTATTGCAGAAATGGAAAGGGAATGTATCTGGAAAGTGACAAGTGGAAAATAGGCGAGAGAACGTAAGCGCAAGGTATATAGAAAGACAGACAAGTTCCAGGTACATACGGCTGTACTAAGTTCTGTTGGATTCCCTTTCCCTGTAATCTGAATGACACGTTTTCTCTGTCACTTGTTTGCAAAGCTTCTTGCACTCTGAAAGCCAAATAGGTATACAGGGTAACCTACGAAAATACCATCCGTGCACCAGGGTTAATGGTGAGCCACATTCTCCATTTCATTATGATGTCTGATGCCTTTTAATTGCGTAGAAGGATGTAGTGCGATTTCTGTTTGTCTCACAGCAACTTTCAGTGACCTGTCACTTCCCTTCAAGACATTACATAGTATCAGAGAAGGATAGTACTAGTGCTTGCGGTTCTTTGGAATTGAATTCACACTGTTTTTGAAATACATCCTTTTATCTCTTTCATTATGAAGTTTGAAATAGTTTATGCACTTTTTTTTTTCCTTTGGAGAACCATTTATTGGCTATGAGAATTGATTATAATTCACTTGTGACATGTCAGCGATATGAACAATCAGTTCTCTGCTGTATGTTGTGACAATAATGACATATTTATAAAGATAGCATGTGCTGTATGAACTGCAGGTAGATGCC